GTGGCTGGCGCCTTAGCCGGTTGAGCCACAGGCGCCGAGCCTATTGTTTTTTTTTTGATCAACACAATTTAAATGTGTCATGGAAGTTTACCTACAGGTTCAAGCGTGCCATGAGATAAAAAAGTTTGAAAAACACTAGGATAGAGGGCTCTAAGACACTAGGCCTATAGGTGCCACTGTGTTGTCAGCTGGTGGGGGCCAACCTCAGAGTATTTAGCTGTATTCACAGGGAGGATCAGGAAAAAAATGACTTGATACCATCTTGTCATGGTAGGAGGTTTTCTAATGCAGAGGTTTCTGTACTTTTCAATGTTTGAATCGTATGTCTAGTTAGTCAAAAACTGATTATTTTTCTAGTTTTAAAAATGAGAAGGGAAAAAACCCAACAACTGTGTAAGTCTGGTAGTACCTTTGTTCTATAGCAAATATACTTGTTGCCACTGGCCCCAGACTACTATGAGTATTTTTCAATGTACGGTATTTTTCAGTAAACAACATGAATGCTTCATGAAGTCTCATTGCCTATGACAGTGGTTCTCAACCTTCCTAATGCCACGGCCCTTTAATACAATTCCCTTTAACACAACCTGTCGCGACCCACAGGTTGAGAACCGCTGGCCTATGACATATAAATGCACCTGTGCATAAGCACAAACTGCTGTCTCCCTCCAAGATGGTACCTCTTACCAAGACCCTCATCTGTTATCCATGTATACACTACACAATTGCTAGAGACCACCGTCCCAATGTCCCAAGAGTTTTGCAACAGAGTGGCTGAAACAAAACTCAAACTCCTTCGCGAAACAGTTTTATTCCATAGGAACTTTCCATTATTTTTATTACTACCTGCTGAAATGACACCATGACCTTTGATTCTTCTCTTTCTCTCATACCCTCCACATCCAATTTTCAATTCAAGTTATTTTAATGTTACAATTTTCCTATCACATCCTCAGTGTTTCACCTGCCACTAACTACTGCTTTCAATTCTTTGTTTTCCAGTTCATATTCCTTACGGAGAACAAGTAAGTCTTCCCAAAGCTGACTTTGAGCTTCTTTATTTGCCATGATAGGCAGCTACCAGTTTTTTTTAACTTGGGAATAAGGTGGGGGCACTGTAACCTTGGCAAGATTGGGTTCCAAGCAATATTTTAGAATTTTCTTCCATTATTTCTTGCCATATATGTAAAGACAGCCTTGGAATGTTTCCTTAACCCATATTCTCTCTTTTAGAGAAGCTTCTAGGTGACTGAAGTAGGTGGGTCTAAATGGCTAAGATGGGTTAAGAAGGGACCTGATGCACAGTTGATTGGACCAAGCTGAGCAAATAAGACACACTGACTTGCTTACTCTCTAATAGGACTAAGACACAGAATGACAGTCAAACAACCTTATGGCCCTGAGATACACAGTAGCACAAACAAAGCTGGCCACATAGCCCAAACCATGGCAACCCAATGCTATTCTGTTCTGGGAAGAACAGAGTCACAAAGGAAGCAAAAAGAAATACTAGAGGAAATAGTTTCCAAAAGAGAACAGAGTGGAATATAGGTACAAGGAGAAGCAAAGGTCCCAAGAGAGACATACACAATAGTTGTAGCCTGGCAACACTTCCTGCAACTGGATTCCCTGAGCTTCTTCTATTTCCTTTAAATAAAACGTTTAAAATAAATTTGAGTTTCTCTGAGTGTGTTTCTGTTCTTTGAAATCAAATAATCCTCTGGGTGGTGCCTGTGGCTCAAGGAGTGGGGTGCCAGTCTCACATGCTGGAGGTGGTGGGTTCTAACCTGGCACCAGCCAAAAACAAAGAAAAAAACAAAACCTGCAGAAATCAAATAATCCTCAAGGCAATATCCCATAAAGACACTTAACAGGAACTGCCTATGCTTTATACCTTTGCATATATGATTTCCTTTGCCTAGAAAGCTTTCCGTCTGCATTGTTGGGCATCCTAAGTTTTCAAAGCCCAGCTCAAATGTGAACTCCAAGACCAGCTGGAGCAAGAGCAAGACCCTGTCTCTACTAAAAATAGAAAACTTAGCCAGGCATTGTAGCAGGCACCTGTACTTCCAACTACTCAGAAGGCTGAGGCTGAGGATCACTTGAACTCAGGAGCTGGAGAGCACTCTAGCCTGGCGATAGGCTACAGGTTATCAGTGATAGGGTGACATTTTGTCTCAAAAAAAAAAAAAAGTGAACTCCTCCAAAATGTTTACATGATTCACAACCCTCTGTTTCCCACTAGAATATAAATTGCTTGAAGACAAGTATATTTCCAGTGGCTAGATTGTGACTGGCTTATGGTAGGCATGTTGAATGAACCCATCTTTATATAATCAATAAAAGAAAGACAAAGACCTATCCACCAGTAGCTTACAGTTCTCTGCCACAGTTACAAGTATACAACAACATGGGATACTTGAATGCTTGTGATCCCAGAGTCGTAAGAAATCACACAGGAAATATGAAACCTTTTTGCCCATCTCCATTAAAAAAATACAGAAAAACCTGGCTGGGTGGGGTGGTTCACACATGTAATCCTAACACTCTGGGAGGCCAAAGAGGGTGGATTGCTTAAGCTCACAAGTTCGAGATCAGCCTCAGCAAGAGTGAGACCAGGTCTCTACTGAAACTAGAAAAACCGAGGCAAGAAGACTGCTTGAGCCCAAAAGTTGGAGGTTGCTGTGAGCTATGATGCCATGGCACTCTACTCAGGGCAATAGCTTAAGACTCTGCCTCAAAAAACAAACAAACAAAAAGGCTCGGTGCCTGTAGCTCAAGCAACTAAGGCACCAGCCACATACACCAGAGGCGGCAGGTTTGAAACCAGCCCAGGCCTGCCAAAAAACAATGACAACTACAACCAAAAAATAGCTGGGTATTATGGCAGGTGCCTGTAGTCCCAGCTATTTGGGAGGCTGAGGCAAGAGACTCGCTTAAGCCCAGGAGTTGGAGGTTGCTGTGAGCTATGATGCCATTGCACTCTACCCAGGGCAACAGCTTGAGGCTCTGTCTCAAAAAAAAAAAAAAAAAGAAAAGAAAAAAGAAGAAAAACCTGTCAGTTTTCAAGAGTCCTCTGCTACTTACCACTCTCCTAGAAAATACCACTTATTTTTAGAAATAGCAAATTGAGTAAATAATTTTCATTAAAATGCACTCTTTAAAAATAAAAAAATAAAATGCACTCTTTTCCAGGTCACAGAAAAGAGAATATTTTTTACAAATAAAATACATGTTTTAAATCCCCCCAAACAAACTGTGAATCATAGCCCTTCGTATTCAAATTAGACTCAGAAAAACAAGCCTTTTTAGACCACCAACAATAAGAGCCAGGGGGTGATGGGGGATGGGGAAGAAAAGAAAGGGCAAGGAAGAAAGACAGAGAAGGCGGCCAGATCACAAAGACCACAAAACTTAGCTGTTTATTAGATTGCAAGCAAGTCTGTCCTCTCTCTACTTGCTCTTTCTTCTCTTCTTCCCTACAAATACTCCCAAAACACATACAGAAAGAGAAAATTAGAAGCTAGATTGGGTCAAACATGAAGAACAGGAAGAGAATATTAAATAGCCAGCTTTAAAAGGCTCTTTTTCAGTTTGAACAAAAGTAAAATGTTCTCAAAAGCAAAACGGAAAACAGAGCTTCCACCCAGACTGTGCAACTTAATGAGAGGAGGTTAGTGCTGATAAACCCATTGTGAATCTACACAAAGTGACATTTTTCAGGCAAAGAAATCAATCAGTTGCGATTGGATGATTTAGAGCCCAGGAATCATTTGGTTCAAACCAATGGGGAGCTGAGGGAATGGAAGGCTGGGGAATAGGGTGGAAGGGTGACTGAGGTGAAGAAAGGGGCTTTAATTTTTATGTCCACCATCCTCTGACCTCATTCCCCTCCCTGCCCATTTAGCCCACATCCTCAATCCACACTATCTGTCATGCCAGCAGACATTTCACCAGACCCAGCCAGATTCACTTTGTTCTCTTTTTCCCCCTCGCTCCATGCAATCTCACACCACAAGGGAATTAAGCTTTCCCCAGGCAGTCACAGACTCTAGCAATAAAAGCTGCCTAATGCTCCTGCCGGTAATCTGTCACTTTGGTTTCTTCCTTGCTGTCTGCTTGTTCCCAATGGAGGCAAAATTTAGAAACATACCATCACGTGGGGGCTCTTCACACGGCAACGAAAGAGAGCTCTGGGTTGCAGTGACCTCAATTTCCTTCTCTGCCAGAGTTGTCCACCCTGGCTTTTTCTCTCCTCCCTGACAGACTTGGATGCAGGAATCAATTCTTGCTTCACTAATATCTTCCTGTCCTTTTTCCTTACTGCTTCCTTCAGGAATTTGCTCTAGCTTACTAAGGAGAGCAGTGCCGAGTTCCTTCTTACCAGAGCTGCTGCTGCTGTTACTAAAATGGGTGAATTCTTCTCTCTTCTCAACCACAGGTTCCTCACAAATCAAAGGAGGTATCTCTTTAGTAGGCAAGATGGGCAGCTCCCCAGGGCTCAATTTGCAGATAGCTGACTGTTCCTCAGCCACTGTCATGGAGCGCCTGATGCCAGGAGTACCCAGGTTCCTGGGCATGGGACTAGGCACTGGGCCACTGGTGGGAGGCAGAAGGCCAGAAGCAAGCTCTTCTCGGGCAGGGAGCTCAGGATACTTATCTGCGAGGTTGACAGCTGGTGGAACAGAGAGGTGAGAGCATTCAGACAGGGCTCGGCGCATGGCCTTTTTCTGCTGTGGGGCTTGGTCAAGCACAGCACTCTCTTCGGTAGAACTCAATTTCTCCAAATCCTTATCGTGGCCTCTGATGTGAGAGCCTGCATTCAAATACTCCTGGGTGAACTCCACCATAGTGATTGGTGGAATGCCAGTGGGTGAATGCTCAATAACGGGGGTCGGGTGGGCTACAGTCGCTAGTAGTGGAGACTCACATTTAAACTGCCCAGAGTTATCAGTCACTATACCTATCACAGGGCAGCCAGGGGTGATGCCATTCTCCTTCTCTCCTATAGTGGCTTCCCATGGGCTCTGAAGGTCTTCAGCCACTGGATGAAAGTTGGGGTTCCAAACACTGGTTTCCTGCTCTTTAACGTACCAGGTGGGGGTATCAGCAGCTCCAGGGAAATCCAGATGTGGCTGGCTCTTGTTCTCCAGTCCATTCTTCCCTACCAACTTCCCCTGAAAGGTGTCTGGCCCCTCTATGAGTCCCAGATGGAACTCAGCAGTCTTCTGGTGAACTGAGTTCCCCTCCAAGGGGTGGCAGGTTTCTGAAATCACATACCTGCTCTCAAGGTGACCCGAGGTTGCCTGATACTCCTTGTCTTGCACTTCAATGCTGCACTCTTTGTCTAGCTTCCCCTCAAAAAAGCAGAGCTTACTCGGCTCCAGGAAGCTGGCATTCTTCACAAGCCCGTCTTTCAGCTTCCCGTCCATGCTGACATTCAGCCCGATTTCATTCAGTTTGCCCTCTGTCCTCTGCCACTCAAATCCAGCTTGACTGATTTCTTTCGCGGAGTCCATTCGGCACTCTGCAGGCTTGCCCTTACCAAGCTGGCTGTGCGCGGCAGTGAGAGAGGCTGGCTGCTTGTCTGAGAGCGACATCGTCTCTTCCACTCCTCTCCCCCCCTCTCGCTCCTGGAGCTCTAATACCACCTACGATCGCACAGAGCTGACGGTGACATCACACCAACTCCACAGTATTCATGACAAAACCCATCTCTCCCCCAATCCTCTTCACTTATTCAAGCAGTTAGGTGGTAAATGTATTTAATCAATGTGAAATAAAGAAAGGAAGAAAGAATGAAAGAGAAAGGAAGGAAAGAAACTGCTTTCAGCACAACCAAATGCTACTGTTAATCTGAAAATGTAATTTCCTGTTAACTAGCACTCTGTTTATATCTGCAATTTAAAACCTGGTATAGTGCCAATCTGGGTACTTAGGATAGTAATTAATCCAGCTTTCATTGATACAGATACATATTATACCCACACATTCAATTATCTGATACTATGCCCACCCCTTCACATTCACCTACTCAAAAAACTGTCTTAAAAATAAGTAAGACTCTTGCCAATTCCCAGCTGTACCTCCTGAAGAACACTGAATCCAGGAAATTGCTTGAATTTTCACTTAAAAAAAAATTTTTAATGTAGTATCAAAATTGCTAACATTAATTTCTCAGAGGGAGAGTGGGTTTGCTGTCATAGCAATTGATCAAACTCACTTAAAAACTGACTTGAATGGGGTCCTGAAAACCCAGTGAGAGCTCTGTATATGTTTCTGCATTGTGAAGGAGTTTAATAAAGGGTTCAGTTGAAGACTTTGATGATCAGGGCTTTGGGGACATGTATTCCAATTGTAAGATAGCTGTGTGACAACATATCCCTTGTGCTTTTATTTCTGTCCCTGCTATGCCTTGGTTCCTTGGATGAGCTGGGTTGTTTCCTCTTGCATCAGCCCTGCTCTTTCCAGTCTACTGATCTCTTAGGTACCATATGAACATACCCAGGGCAGTTTGTTTTCATTTGACCTCTAGAATTAGGGACTCTGACAACATGTGGCTTGGAGTTTTTCTTTTCTTTTCTTTTCTTTTTTTTTTTTGAGACAGAGGCTCAAGCTGTTGCCCTGGGTAGAGTGCCGTGGCATCACTGGTCACAGCAACCTCAAACTCTTAGGCTTAAGTGATCCTCTTGCCTCAGCCTCCCAAATAGCTGGGGCTACAGGTGCCCGCCACAATGCCCAGCTACTTTTTGGTTGCAGTTGTCATTGTTGTTTGGCGGCCCAGGCTGGATTCGAACCTACCAGCTCCAGAGTATGTGGCTGGTGCCCTAGCTACTGAG